GTGCTTTTTGTCCTTCCTTCCTTCCTGCTTTCCTTTGCTTATTTCTCTTTCTTTCTTTCCTTTGTGGAACTCGGGATTGGACTCAGGTCTTTGCTCTTGCTGGAAAAAACACTCTACCACTTGAACCACCCCACCCCAGTCCTTTTGTTTTTATATCTTTTGGTGGGGGGGGGGGAAGGAGGAGATCTCAATTAACTTTTGCTCAGGCTGGCCTCAAATGGTGATCCTCTTATTTCGTTCTCCTAGATTCCTGGAATTATAGACCTGCTCTACCATGCCTAGTCAGCTTATATTTCTTTCACCACTCTACAGTCTACAAAAGAAGCTGGTATATATGGCTTAAGCAAAGCACACCGCGGTCTTCAACACTGGCTAGAAAGAAGAGGAAACCAAGAGTCTCATCTGGTGTCAACTTCATTGTGTTCTTTCCTGGCCTTGTCACTACTTCTCACCATTGGAAGGTAGACCAGGGGAAAAAGTTCCAGAAGTCCATGCATGAACAGTCAGGTTCTTTGGGTGCGATCTAGCCAAAGCCAGAGCCACAACTATTTTATAAAATTACTTCTCTCTTTGCCTCTGCCTGGTTTAAATCAAAGTTACCAGGTTAATATATGGGTGGAAGATGTTCCCTCAAGCTGAACAGGGACCATCATGGCTGAAGAGAAAGCCACGGAGGGAGCAGTGGGTGGCGGCCCTTCCCTCCTTACCTGCTTTGCTTCCACCCTCCCTTCTTTCTTCTGACTCTCCTAGGATCACTATTGTGGCATTCAATGTCCCCCACAGCCCATGTGGTGTTGAAGGCTTAGTTGCCAACTGCTGACACTAGTAAGAGGAGAAGCCTTTGAAAAATGAGGCCTGGCAGGAGGAAATGATGTCATGGGGGGGGCGTGGCCCCTTCCTGGCCTCTTCCTGACTTCCTCTTCCTTTCACCTCTCAGCTGAGGTGTGCCAGCTTCCTGTGACAGCAGGGTAGGTGGCAAAACAGCAGGGCCCAGTGACCATGGACGGCCCTTGGAAACCAGGAACCAAGACAGACCTATCCTCCTCCTAAGCTGATTCCCTCTGGTGTTTTGTTATAGTAACAGAAAGCTGACTTCACACTGTGGTGAAGACTCACAGGGAAATGGGTGGCCGTGCATGTGAGCACAGAATGGGGGTGGGTTGCAAAAGGGCTTCATTTACAGGGAGCTTGAAAGAGAAACAGGTTCCCATTCCTACCAGAGCCAATGTTGGGTGATTTGCACAAACGCAGAATCTAAATGGACACCAGGAGGGAGCCCCTCATAAACAAACCAAACTCCCCTCAGCTCCAGGCCACATGTTCCCCTCTCCTACCTTCCATAGCCAGGAGAACTGAGCCGGGGTCTCCTGCCCTGGATCTCAGAGACCATGTTGAAGCTGCACTAAGGTTCTTACAACAGAGGAAGAGCCCTGGCCCTGGCCTCAGCTACCAGTCACTGAGCAGCCTGGGTGGAAGGGGGCAGCTATGGGAGGGTAGGATACCCTTCAACGTCCAGGCACCCCTCAGAAAGGCTCAGACAGCAATCTTGAAATAAAATTAAATGAACTGTGGGCTCTGCTTTTGCCCTTGTTGTTATTCATCATATCTGCTCCAGGGCTCAACAATTCCAAGGCTTTGACTTAGAAAGGTGCTGGTAGCTCACACCTGTCATCCTAGCTACACAGGTGGCTGAGATCTAAGGATCCCAGTTCAAAGCCAGCCTGGGCAGGAAAGTCTGTGAAACTCTTATCTTCCAATTAAGCACCAGAAAGCCAGAAGAGGAGCTGTGGCTCAAGTGGTAGAGTGCTAGCCTTAAGCACAAAAAGCTTAGGGACAGTGCCCAGACCCTGAGTTCAAGCTCCAGGGTAGTACAAAAATAAAAATAAAAAAGAATGGACTTAGGCAGGGAGGACAGGGGAATTTCTCTTTTGTTTTAGTTTTTCATTCATGTTCATTTTGACTGAGTGTTTAGCAAGCCAACAGGTCCTGAAATGTCTCAGATCACTTGACAATTAACACTGGTTAGTGATAGTTTCCCCAAACATTGTAAAGTACGAAGGGGGAGGGCATGTAATAGAAGAGAAAAAGCAGCATTAGAGAGCTCCCAGTCCCACCAAGGAGCACACAGCTGGAATCAGGGGAGGATGTGGCCAGAAGGATCAGGGCCTCCATGAACCTCCAGTGCCACCCCCAGAAACCCAGTGAGCAAAAAGGAGTCCTAGACAAGCACCAACGGCTCTCACCTGTAATCCTAGCTACTCAGGAGGCTGGGATCTGGGCAGGAAACTCCATGTGACTCTTAGCTCCCGTTAAAAAGCCGGAAGTGGAGCTGTGGCTCAAGTGGTAAAGCACCAGCCTTGACTGGAAAAGTTAAGGGGCAGCGGTCCTTGGCTGAGTTCAATCCCCAGGACTGGCACATACATTCCTTCAGCCCCTGGGATCACCCTCTTAGGTACTTAAGACACCGGTGCTCCCCTGAGTAAATGAGGGGACCCAGAAACAGAGGACCCCCCTCCCCCACAGCCGGCGCCTCTGCCCTCAGGCAGTCTGCCCTCAGCATCTCCAAGCCAGTGAAGTCTGGGACATGCATCCACATGCCTCTCCTTATTCCTCTGTAAAATGGGCGCAGAGTATCGTGGCTTCCCACCGCCCGCCGAATGGCAAGCTGAGCAGAGCCAGGAAGCGCCTGTTGGTCTGGGCAAGCCCAAACCAAGCCTCCCTCCTGACCTCCTGCTGCGCCCGTGTGTGACTCTGTTTCCCTCTGATCCCGGCTCCCAGGGTCACGTGGGAATTCACAGGAGGAGACACCACAGGTAATCTTGTGTGTGTCAGCGCAGCCTCTCCCAAAGCTGGTTCCTCAGTCATAAGGGTGGCTTTGGTGGGGGCAGAGGCTGCCCGCCTTCTTGACTTAGTGGCTTATAAAGGGACAGCCGTCTGTTTTGAACTCCTACAAAGAGCTGTTTCTCAACCTCTGCCCTGTTTCCCTCCCCCATCTCCCCAGCAATGGTTTAGGGAACACTATTTCTCTCCATCCACGTCAAGGGCTTTGGTGGTGGTGATGGTGGTGGTGGTTTTGTGATTTGAATTTAAGATCTCTCTCTCTCTCTCTCCCTCTCTCTCAGGCTAGCACTCTCATGTTTGATTCACATCTCTACTTCTGGCTCTTGTTTTGCTGTTTAAATAAAGATAAGAGTCACAGAGATTTTATTTTTTCCCTGCCCATGTTGGATTGGAACCTGGATCCTCAGACCTCGGCCTCCTGAGTAGCAAGAATCACTGGTGTGATCCATCCATACCCAAGTGTGTTTTTTTGTTTTGTTTTGTTTCACGTGGTTTAAGCTCTGGCAAAGTAACCTGAGTTGAACCTACCCAGGTCTGCAGGAGAGTTGCTGCTTCCAGAATCTCAATGCACCCACCAATCCTGAGTCTGTGGCCTATGCTCAGGTGGAGCCTGGTCAACTGGAGGCAACACATCTGTCTCCTTGGTAGCCATGAGTCCTGGCTTAAGGGCAGGAAGCCAGGAATTGGGGGGGGGGAATGGCCTCAATGAAGAACCCCCCCCCCAGTTAGTGACCTAGCATCACAGAAGCTGACAGACACTATCTAGCTTTCATTCAGGGGCTGTGTGTCCGCCTTCCCCAGCCCTCCCCTGACACCTACATTCCAGCAGGTGAGGGCTCCCCAAAGGTTTCAAAGTTCACCACCTAACCAGGACACCTGAAAGGAAGGGCACACAGGCCAGAGGGCCGGGAGACCCCCGCAAAACAGGCCGAAGGAGCCTCAGGAAAGCAGCGCCTCCCACTGGCGTCATCTGGAATGACTTCCAGAAGGTGGGCTGCAGAAGCAGATCCTGGCCCAGGAGAAAGCCTTGCTTTGGGGAGGTTGAGGGGCCTCTGGGCCTGGGGCCTCCGGTCTCAGGCTCACGTGGGATGGGGACAGCTGCGGGAGAGGAGCCCCGAGTGTCTCCCATGGGGCCTGGGGTCAGTCTCCAGGGTGGGGGCTAAGGAGGGGGAGGTTCCCCAAATGGCCAAACAGTGAGGACAGACTTGCTTGTCTCTGCCTCCTAGCTTGTTCAAGCCAGGGACTTTCACCCTGAAAACAAGGAGCTTAAAACCTGCTTTCCATCTCCCACCCACCCCCCATTCTCTTTTTCACTTTTAAAATTGAGGTGATGCGTTATTAAGAAGCGAAAGAATCCCATCCAGGGCCCTGGGCTGGGTGCTTCACTTTCTCCTTGGAGTATGAGGAGCCCCAGGGCCAGCGGGGCTCCAGGGGGATGGTGGGGGACGCGGAGGTCCACCCTGACCCCGGGGTCCATCCTGGTGGGCAGTGGGGAGTCAGACCTTCGGGTATGCCCTGCGCATCGGTCCCGCCCTTGGAGACCCCAGGCCGGGGACGAGCGCGGGCAGCGGCGCGCAGGGGGAACGGCAGATCCCCGGCCGGCGGAGAGGCGCGGGGGGGGGCCGGGAGGGGGTGTGGGAGACCCCCGGACAGATCGCTCATCCTCGGAGGGCAGCGGGGCGCTAGCTACCACGGACTTCGGGGACGGGGGAAGGCGGCAGGTGCCTGGGCCAAACCCACGGGATGGCGCGGGGGGCTGGGGAGGGGGGAGCCCGACGCGGCGATCCCTGCGCCGGCTCAGCCTGGGGACTTCCGGAGCCGGGTGGCCCTTCGGGGAGCTCGTCCGAGAGAACCCCCCCCC